TATCAACCAAGTTGCGTCCGCCGTATGGTGGCTGAGCTCTGAAATTTCAGGGAGAGGATTTGTAGTAAAGAGCCGAGCCTGCCAAGCTGCCAGTATCTCCCAATCTCTCGCTGTGTTGGCATGTCACACATCCCCACTGTTTCTGGCTTCACCTCACCCCTGCTCTCTCTCCACTCTCTTCCTCTCGCTCTCCCCTGCTGTGAGACAGCTACACCTGTCACTAGCTGGAGCTCAGGTTCTTGTCGCTCACACTGTATGCCGCACGCTATCTCTTAGCTGCTCCTTCCCTTACTATGTGAACAGTCTCTCGTCCACTGTGGTTTTCATGCTACTCACTGTCTGAATCAGAAATGTCGATATGTGGTCAGGGGCGAGAGTGAGGGAGAGAATTTGCCCGTGATAATGTACGCGATGGGACTTCTTGCATTCAGCTCAGTAGAGCAGCACTGCAGAACACAGTCCGCCTATCAGCGACATTTTAAGGTGTATGTAATATATATATACCCACAAGAGGAGGAAAGCACAATCGTATATGGAGCGTTTAAAAAATATCATCTGGAACTCCTCGGTGATCTTTTTCTTCCTCGTGGTGGTAGTAGAGTGCATGTTGCCGTTTCCACAGAGAGATCATAATAGTAGCTGTCCTCCTGTGATAATGGCCTTGTATTCTGGTCTCCTTTTGAAAGCCAGCCTCCCCTAGAGTTATCGACGTATGGAACTCTGTGCTGTGCCTGACTGGAGGGTAGTTTTGTTTGCATAAACAGCCACATGCAATGACTTCTCTATAGTGGGATCATAATAACCAGCTATAGATTGGTGTTATTCAGTCTTGTGGTGTCTGTGATGTACTATGTATATACATACGTGCACGAGCTGGTTGCAGGAGGTTATGACACGTGCGTGAATAGGAGACCTGTCGGCAGGCAGTCCCTAATAGGACACAGAACATTGGATCTCTGCATGTAGCCCACATTTTGCCTGCCTCCCACCGCCCCACCATGTGTAGTAGCTGTTGATATGGCTCTATAGTCTTTGTGTCGAGTACAGTAGTCCGAAGAGGGAAGGAAAGAGAAGAAAAGATGAAGAACTGTGCTACATACTCCTCCACTCTGCACACACATATGCACACACATACATTACGTAGCATGGCCCACGGCAGTACATAAACCCTCGACGAGAACTGGGTGTTGGGTCGAATAGTTTATACTATATGGCACAGCAGATCGCTGTATGCAGTAGTTGTAGTATTCCTCCAGTGTCAGCCCAGCCTCCCACCACCACAGTGTATCATGTATGTGTATACATACGTGGCTTGTGTTGGTGCAGCTCATTTGGTCAGAATGTGTACTCTTACCGCATTGGTGTGTGTGTATTGTGCATTCACATCGCTTCCAGACACGGCTCATAGGAGGGTTGTATCATAGCCAGTCACATTAGCCTCGCCTCCCCTCGCGACTGAACACCTACAAATGATTACTTCTCTCCCTGCCATTCTCATTGTTGATGGGTGAATGCACCATGTTGGTATGTGCATCACTATCCTGTACTGTGCACAAAAGCAATCACTCGTAATGTGCTCAGCATAGTGAAATAGGCTCTCTTGAAGCACTTGAAGCACAGAAAATTATATATGAGCACATCTCATCATGTTATGTCCCTCTCTCTCTCCTCTCCTCTCCCTACCCAGCCTCCCTCTCCTCCCTCGTCCCGCCTCATGTGCCCTCCCCGAGACTACAGTGACTGTGTCGGAAGGAGGAGGGTGGTGTTGGAATGTGCCACCGACGGCGCCACGGCAACCATCTCTTGGTCCCACACCTCCCTCGTCTCCCTTCCTAACAACAGCTATGTGAGTCTATCTCTCTCGCTTCACCAATCCACACAAGTTGTGTGTGTTTTTACGACAGACAAAGTTGCGAGTTTAGTCTGTTGGTTGGTGGATGTTTCACTAAAGCACCGCCCCCTGCCACTCCCTCTGCTGCATTTGTTAATGAAGCCTGAGGTTTATAGCTATGCTGCATTTGTTAATGAAGCCTGAGGTTTATAGCTATGCTGCATTTGTTAATGAAGCCTGAGGTTTATAGCTATGCTGCATTTGTTAATTGAAGCCTGAGGTTTATAGCTATGCTGCATTTGTTAATGAAGCCTGAGGTTTATAGCTATGCTGCATTTGTTAATGAAGCCTGAGGTTTATAGCTATGCTGCATTCGTTAATGAAGCCTGACGTTTATAGCTATGCTGCATTTGTTAATGAAGCCTGAGGTTTATAGCTATGCTGAATTTGTTAATAGTTTCCCTCTCCCCACCCTCAGATTCTGCCGGCAGGACCTCTGGTGATAGAGAATGCCACCGTTGCTGACAGCGGTCACTACGCCTGTAGTCTATTTGACTCCAATGGCGCGTTTGTCGCTGCTGCCTTTGCCCCTCTCACCGTCACATGTAAGAGATTGTACGTAGGTATTGTACTTCTAGTGGAACCCCTCTCTCTAAGAACACCCAAGGACACCACACCTCTCTAATAGTGACACCTTTTGAAGTTTTAATAAGGACACCTCCCTAGTATGGCCTCCCTAGTATGGACACTTTCATCTTCCATTTGTGTCCAGATTTTAGGGGCTTTCAGTGTGAATTTGAAATTTTTGCATGCTCTCAAACTTAGTGTAAAGTGTTCATAACAAAGATAGTCCACTGGCATACAAATGAGCAGGAACCCTTGATTAATTTGATTAATTAGTCATTCCTCTAATACTTAGCTGCATAGCTGCTGTAAGTGGTGCATTAAGATTGCGGTATTAGGTATGCCTGTGCCCACGTGCATTGTCACCGGCTCTCCATACGTCCTCCTGTCCTGTGCGTGTAGCTGTAATGATATTCACGACCTGGGCAAGTGCGAGGGAAGGTAGGGAGGAGAGGGAGACAGATGAGGGTGGCCTTTTACTGCAGTGAGAGTCATAGCAGGCGGTCCTCTGGGAGTTGGGGTAACTTGAGACACGACATGAATTCCGTTACTCAAAACATTCGGAAGCTGTTTGGATTTCTCGGAGATGACCTTCACATTTCACATTTCTCCCCCGTTTCTCTCTCACCACTCCCTCTCCTCTCTCTCCTCTCTTTCTCCTCTCTCTCCTCTCTCTTTCTCTCTCTCTCCTCTCTGTCCCCTCTCTCTCTCTCCCCCTCTCTCTCTCTCTCTCTCTCTCTCTCTCTCTCTCTCTCCCCTCTCTCTCTCTCCCCTCTCTCTCTCTCTCTCTCTCTCTCTCTCTCCTCTCTCTCCCTCCTCTCTCTCCCTCCCCCAGCATCTCCCACAGTTACAGTAACAGGGTTGGAGACGGTGACAGAAGGCTCACATCTCTCCCTCTCTTGCTCAGTCACCTCAACTTGTGAGTCCACTGTCACAACTGAACACCGTACACTGTCTTATGTATTGCCATGTGTCGTTCATACACTAGTGTATTAGGTATGTGGTTCATGTACCACTGACGGAGGCCGACTCACACATTTTTTGGAATAGTAATGTCCTAGGTTGTCTCAGTTTGCCTCTGGTGGCACCAATGTATGTACATGCCAAACAACAAGTGAAGAATATGGAGTCGCACTAGTTTTCCTAGTGTGTATCACAAATACGAATCATAAGATGTGTTCCTTTATCTCCACGTGTAGCTCCAGACCCAGTGACAGTAGTGTGGTTCAAAGGTCATGTGGTCCTCCCGTCGTCCCAACACGACACCATGGGAACCGTCATCAACACATTCTCCCGGGACTCCGCCCACCCCAACGACACCGGACTCTACCAGTGCATGGCCTACGACTCTGCCGGGTGTGGTCGTGCAGTCGCCATGGTAACAGTTGAAGCCACACCCCCAACGACCTCACCCCCGCCTCCGCTGACAGTCTCGGCTACTCTCCTCAACAGTACCTTTGGTCGCTGTACGGTGGTTGGAGATATAGCAAACATGGGCATTACGTTTGGAGTATGGGAGATGGATGGGGAGATACTCGACTACTTCAGCAGCACAGACGGAAACAGCACACACATCGTGAAGGACACTCAATTCTCTGCATCGGGGCTGTACATCTGCAAGGTTTTGCTGGTGTCCAGCGACAGCATCAGCGACTCTGTGCTCTATTTACAGCCCACCTCACCCCCACCGCACTCGACTGTTGTTGATGCCACGCCTACCTCCTCGTCGCCCGTGGCAACATCCCTCCCCTCTCCTCCTCCGCCAAGTTCTCCGGTAACGGTCTCGGTCAGTGTGGTAGGGTCAGTAGCCCACTGCATCGTGCGCGGCGATATCTCTCTCGTCTTCACCGGACTCTGGTTGCTGGACGGAGACCTACACGGACAATTCCTAGTCCCTTCTGGCTCCCTGTTGGTCTTCTTCACGTCCACACACCTCTCGGAGGCGGGAACCTACACGTGTCAGGTGGCGCTCACCACGGGGATTTTCGTCACGGATTCAGTGGACTATTTGGTTGTAGCCACTTCGGTCCCTCCAGTGGAAGTAACTTCTTCGTCTGTGGATCAACCAAGTCCAACCTCCTCCCCTACGGTGCCTCCTCCTAGTCCTCCAGTTACAGTCACTGTCACGGTGTATGGTTCCATGGTCCACTGCGTCGTCCAGGGTGACCTCTCTCTCATCTTCACCGGTCTCTGGCGGGTGAACGGAAACATCAGGGAGTATGTCCCCGCTCCCCCTGACACCAACGTACCGTTACTCTCGTATTCAACCGACCTGTCTGAGGACGGTACCTACACATGTGTGATAGCTCTCACTGGAGGTCTTTTGGTCGAGGACTCCGTGGACGTTCTCCTACCGACCACCCCACCATCTCCTTCTCCCTCCCCCACGGAACCTGCTCTGTATGTCGCTCTGACCGTCCAGAAGCTATCGACCAGCGTCAAGTGCATTGTAGACGGAGACATCGATGCCATCACTACCTCTCTGTGGATTGTTCACCGCGAAGATGGAGTCTTGTCTAACTTTCCTTTCAGTGTCGACACGTCGAGGTCGTTTTTCTACTCATCTCTCCCACTGTCTATGTATGGCACCTACACATGTCACGTTACCCTGTCCAACGAGGAATGGCTGACTGGATCTGTTGAGCACCCGCCCCCTCCCTCCCCCTCTCCCTCCCCCTCCCCCTCCTCGACTGTTCCAACACTCCCGCCGGTTGTCGATCTTCGTCGTATCGAGGGTGGCTACATGGTTTGCAGAGTTGATCTTGCTCGGAACGAAATATCGAACATGATGTTTTCTCTTGACGGGATCCCAATTAACGGAGAGCCGGTGTTTGGAGAGACTACAGCGGCACTGACGACGCTCGCAACGGACCCCGGCACGTACCTCTGCATCGTGACCACGACAGATGGGCGGATCCTCACCGCGCAATACGACGTCACTCCTCCCCCTACCACGCCCACGATCCTTCCTCCGCCCGCCTCGTTGACGGCAGAGTGGGTGTACAGGGACGATGGGATTCTGGGGAACGTTCGAGTGACGTGGGAGGAGCCGGCGCTGACTGTGGGGCTGTTGGGATACAAGATAAACTGGGATCCTCCTGCACTGTGAGTTTGGGGATGGGGTGTGTTTGTTTAAGACATCCTACCTGTAGTCAAGACGACACACCAGTAGATGTATATGTTCCTGACACCCTCACTTGTGTATTACGGGGACAATATTGGGTTTAATTGAAAACCCGGTTGCAAAGCGACAGACTTTACTCATGTGTAGTATGTATGTACTGACTGCATGTGTCTTTGACTGCAGTGTTGAGAAAGTTGGTAGAAAGTTCCTGGGGAGAGAGGTGTACCAGTACACCATTACCACTGATTTGGACGTGGAGCTGCCCTACGTCATTCTAGTGTGGGCCTTCACCAGCAGCGGAGACCAGGAGGCAGCACGCTACGAACTACCTCCAGCAATTGGTGAGGAGAAGAGGGTTAATTCTGGCGTGTGCTGTTGATAGAGTACAATGTCAACCTCCATGTTCAATTGACTTGAGCAGGATTTGGTTCAGTTCCTCAGTTTACTTGTGTACAATGCACGTTTTATTGCCCCCCCCACTCTCTGCAGTGGTACCACCCCTGTGTCCAGAGCCCTGTCCCTCTTCCAGCGTCCTCCCCTCTCCCTTCCCTCTTCCTCCTCTGATTCTAACAGACTGTGAGGCAGTCTCTCCCAACTCTGCCACTCTCTCCTGGCAGGTCAGTACATATTGTACTTACTTCCTGTAGCCCCTCTTAGCTATGGCCTCTGATTACTCACTCCAACCTACCTTTCGGCAGTATTTACACACATCAAGATAAAATTGATGTTTACAGACATAGGGGTTAGGGTCCACGTTTTTACACACAATTAGAGAAACCCCACATCTTTATTTTACCCCATCCCTATCCTCTCTGATCCCTCCTCACTATCTTCCATTCTCCTCATCCTCCTCCCCCTCCAGATCAACAAGAGAGAGAAAGAGATGGTAGAAGTGAGCTACGGGTGTCAGGCGGCCGGCACCAACCACTCCACCACTCTCCCACTGGACGCGAGCACGTCGCTCACTCAGCTCCTCCCCAACTGCCGCTACGTCGTCCGGTACCAGTCCGACTCCTGTGTCCTGACCACACCCCCTGGACCAAGTGAGTCAAACCCTTTCATTAGCGAGGGGGAATCATCCTCGGGAGCTACGATGTAAACATAGCTACTACTACTGTACCTACCTTACCTGCAACGTACCTTGGTTGATGAGATGAGTTTGTGAAAAATCAAAGTTAGAATTGCAACCTTTCCCAAACAAAATAGTTCCAAACGATGTTTCATCCCGCCATTTTGGAATCACACTCTCACAAGAGTTTCTTTTGTTTTGTTAATGAGAGCTGAGTCGTGTGTGTTCTAGAGTTAAAATTTTGTAAGAACCGCAGTGACCCTTACAAACGGTGCATTCCTCCCACTTATTTGTAATCTTCTCTCTCTCTCTCTCGCCTCTCACAGTACCGGCAAATTTCAATGTGACATTAGTCGATGGAGCGTTAGTGGTGACGTGGTGGGGACTTCCCCCTGAGCTGGGCGGGGTCTCCGATGAGGGTGTCAAGGTGGAGGTGAACGTGAGTGGAGAGTGGGTGGAGGTGGGCGGAGATAATCCCCACACCCATTATTCAACCACACCCGGCAGAAATACCATTCATATCAGGGTAAGCAAGATCAGTGCAGTGCCCCTTCATTTAAGTAAATAGAGGGGTTTTTGCTGACGAAATTGTTCACATGGGAAACAGAGTTGTTCCGCTGCTCTAAGGACTATACATTGAACCTCTGTATAGAGGATCATTGGAGTCTCCTCCTTTACTTGGGTGTGGCATAATGCACTAATGCATGGGGCAGAATAAGTGATGGAGGTGTGTCACTTATTTGAAGGTGATATACCTCTCCCTCCATCCCTCCCTCCCTCCCTACCTCCCTCCCTCCCTCCCTCCCATCCCTCAGTTCTCAATCGGAGAATGGAGCTCCATACTCTCCGTCCCTGTGACCACCCCCACAACTAACGAGACCACGCCTACCCCGACAGACACACCCACAACTAACGAGACCACGCCCACCCCGACAGACAAGACGACGGACTCCTCCCCATCTCTGGAGGACCAGGTGTTCTTGTATGGGACGGTGATAGCAGTGGCCGTCCTAGTGTGTGTGGTGGTGGTGGTTGTCATCCTGGGCTCAAGTACATACAGATGACTCATAGAGATACAGACAAAGGTTAGTTCTCCACCATCTTGCTTTCTCTCATCATGGCGACTCATTTTAGTAACCTACGTACTATATGAAACGAAATTCACATTTGTTTGATGTGCCTTACATTTGCTCCCCGTGGCACATGTACACATGAATAGTTTACATTTGCCTGCACAAGGTTTTAGGGAGAAAACCGTGTATTTGGTGTTTATATGCATGCAGTTTCCTCGAGAAGGCTTTTTCCAAGGAATTAAGTCCCAATTGAAAGAAGTTCTTTTTGTTGTGTTTACGTCCATTTCCGTGTGTGTTCCCAGAATTTCTGACCGAGTGATCACATACATGTTGTTTGCTACAGTGACGGACCACAGGCTGTACCAGAAACAGCAGTTCCACAGAATGAGGTACATTGTACACATGTTCGTTGTTGTTTTAAACTGAACCCTCCTTAATGAAGGTCTCTGAATAATGAGGACACCTCTACAAAGAGACACCTGGGTCTGTCCCATACTAATTCCTAACCTCTTAAAAAGGCAACTTATAAAAAAGAGCTTTCGATGTCCCCATTTTATTTTCTCTTCCCCTCATCTCTATAGTTTGGAGAAGTCGTCTCTCAAGAAGCAGACCCCCTATTCCAATGGACTCAACGGAGTAAATGGAGTCAACGGAACTCGTCCTAGAAGCAAAGTCACAAGAATAACTCCCGTATAGCCACACCCACTGCATACAATTCAATTCCCATATTTCTATATTTCCATCTCCTCTCCTGACCCTTCATCTCTCTCTGCTGGATGTACATGTCTGTCCGTGTGTGCCTGTCTGTTTTTTTCGTTTGTGTTAAAGATCTCTATTAATTTTTTTACAAAATCTAAGTTTTGCTACACTGCGCATGCGTACTGGGCCCAAGATGTGGAGAGGGCGGGAGGGGCTAGGGTCGGTGCGCATTAATTAGAGTAGCACACGTGCGGAAGGGTGTAAGATGAGCGGGCTCGACTCTGAGGGGGTTTTCGCGCGGAAACTGGCTTCCAACGACTCGAGAACGAGGGCAAAGACGCTCCGCCGTCTCAAGAAGTGGATGACTGCTCGCTGCGAGAACGGTGTGAAATAATGAAAAACTCACACTTGTCTTTGCCACCACGCTTCTCCGTCTGTTCTCCCACGCTGTCCTCCGTGTAGGTTTCACAGAGCTCCAGATGATGAAGCTGTGGAGAGGGCTCCACGTCTGTATGTGGCACTCTGACAAGCCACTGGTGCAGGTGAACACTTTCCCCTTATTTGCCACACAACCAATGACAACATTATACCTATACTTAACTGTGAGCCTTTATATGACATTTTGAGCACGTTCAAACAGTGTGCCGTATACAATCTAAACCCTGAGTGTATTTGTACGACATGTTGTAGGAGCTAAACCCTGAGTGTATTTGTACGACATGTTGTAGGAGCTAAACCCTGAGTGTATTTGTACGACATGTTGTAGGAGCTAAACCCTGAGTGTATTTGTACGACATGTTGTAGGAGCTAAACCCTGAGTGTATTTGTACGACATGTTGTAGGAGCTAAACCCTGAGTGTATTTGTACGACATGTTGTAGGAGCTAAACCCTGAGTGTATTTGTACGACATGTTGTAGGAGGAACTGGCAGATAGCCTGGCATCCTTTATTCACGTACTGGAGGACAGGGAAGTTGGTAAGTCTTTGAAGAGTATTACTGACTCTCGGGAGATGCAGTGTTCTCTTCTCCAGTTCTGCTGTTCATAAAGTGTTTCTTTGCAATAATGGTACGAGAGTGGCACGGTATCGACCGACTGAGACTGGACAAGTTCTACATGGTAAGGGGGGGAGCGAGGAAGGAAGAGGGGAGATTAGAGTGCACCTGGCCTGGTTTTCTGAATTGTGCTAAAGTCCATATTTCACTGATTTTATGTGTCTAAAATTTTCCACTCTCAGTCTCCCGTACACTAAAAATGCATTTCACTTGTGTAACTGCAAGGCTCTTTCTGCAGTTGATGAGGAGGATGCTGAGACAAAGCTTCCAGCACCTTGCAGACAAAGAATGGGAAGACAGGTACATCCTGACGCCAGAGAGAGAAGTTGCGGTATGCTCTGCTGATGAGGGCCAACAAGCCCGAAACAGAGCTCCGCGTCTTTTTTCCTTCGGCATCACATGGTCTAATACCTTCATGTATGAACACAGTAGGAAGGAGAGAGTTTTAATTAAAAGATGTAGAGGAGAGAGAAGTGAGCATAGAGGTGCGTTCTTTTCTCTCTGTCCAGTTATGTGAAGTCACTGGCAAAGGTTCTTGCAGCTGGTCCACTGAACCCTGACCTCAGTAAGGTGAGTGGACAGTTTGGGGTGCGAGTGAGGTTCATCATCAGGTGTCCAACGGTGTGCGTAGACGTGCAGTGGAATACAGCTGCATGTTCTGGAGGTCTATCTTCCTGAGCTCCTGGCTGTCGCCGCAAACTCCGTGGTGAGTCTTTTTCCACTTTATCTCTACTTCCTCATTGTATGACATTGTGTGTGTACTCCAAATATGGGACATTCCAAGCTCTGAATGAAGGACACTTGAAACTCCAAATAAAGCACACCTTAAGCTCCGAATAAAGGACACTTAAAGCGGAGGGTAACACTTGTGTCCCCTCTGTATAGAGGCTCTGGTTGTCTAGGAAGCAACTGCCTTACTATTTAAATCTCCTTCATGTTTGAGGGCTGGCAATGAGTGATGTCGTGGCAATCACGTGTAGCACACTATATACTACTGTTTTGTCTATTAGATACCAGGAGACTGTTCGTGTTGGCTCCTACAGCCTTGCTGCGATCTTCTCGCCGGAACCAAGGAGTGAGTAATGGCACTTACCTCCTCCCTTCTCCCCCTCCTCCCTCTCAATTTGGTCTCTCTACCATCCCTCTCTTTTCTCACGGACCCACTACTATATAGTCCAGTGGTGGCAGAGGTGGTCGAGTCAAGAGTCCTCTCACAGCTCGTGGTCGGCAAGAAAGCCAGCAAACTCAACGTATGAAACCTCTCTATAGATGTTGCTGCTTATTTAACAATTATGCTACGATATGCTCCTTATGTAGGCTCTAGCATTGAATGTTCTAGTAATGATCATACCCTACCTGCATAATTAAGGGGAATATTGATTTGCTACTTGGGACCCTCTGCACAACAAACCGCGACATCTCACGTATGAGTGGAACTTCTTCTAAAGGACACCTCTCTATAAATGACACTTTCTCAAACCAACGCCATTTTACCTCTGAATGTGTATGTATGAACTCATTCTCAAACCAATGCCATTTTAAAGGACACCTGTATACAATTGTAATAGGAGGTTCCATTATAATAGCACGCAGTGAGTGTGTGTGTATGTATGAACTGCAGGTGGATGCACATGTGATGTCAGAGATGCTGCTGGGACTGGCGATCAGGAGAGACACGGTCAGTCGAAACAGACGATCTCTCTACCATCTCAGACAGAGGTTCCAGGACTTCGCCAAACACCAGCAGGAACAGGTGACGGAGACATCCGACCAATCAGATGAGGGCATTGTGAGTTGTTACGTAACACATGAGAAAATTCTGAAATTGTTACTGGGCCACTTTTGAGCATTTCGTGAGAAAGAACTGTTAATTTAGAGCTATCCTACATTATGACATCTGAGAGAATTTGGGTGCATGAATATGTGCATAAACTGACCAGTCATGTGACCCTATATACATCAACTGACCATCCATGTGATAGTCATGTGACCTCATTTTTAATCAGGAGGTCGATGTGGCTGGGGAAGTGATGGAGAGCGAAGAGAGAAAGAGAGACAGAGCTGGTAACAAGGATGATAAAATGAAGAAAGAAGATGAGGAAAGCGAAATGGAGGAGTTGGAGGATGAGGAAAGGGTAGAGAAAGAGGGGGGAGGAGGAGGAGGGGGAGGAAATGGCGAAAGAGGAGGATGAGGAGGAAGAGAGGGAAGTGAGGAAGGAGATGAAGGTGAAAAGGACCACCTGTGGAGCGCAGAGATACAGAGACAAGCTGGAACTAGCTCGACTGATAAGGAGGAGGTTGAGGAGGAGGAAGGCAAGGGGGTGGGCATGGGGAAAGAGAGTGGTGGTGAACTACGGTGTATGGAGGAGACTGAGCGTGGATGAAGTTCTTGACTGGGCGGAGGAGAGGGGAGAGAGGGATGACACTTCTGAAGGGGGTTGGGGAAGAGTGGATGAGGGTGTGGCCAGAAATGGTGACCATGGCAACATAGCAACAATGCCCAAAGGTGTAGGTGTGGCCGGAGATGGTGACCATGGCAACCAAACGCCATCTACTCGGCCGAAGAAAAGAGTGTCTTTTGGACTTCACAAGAATCAGATATTCACACCGCAGTAGTGCAATGTTCATTTTTTTCTGTGAAATAACTTTTTTCTAAAAAATCAGCAGTCACAATAATTTGTACACGAACAGAAAATAATTATATATATATATACACAGGGGTATAAAAAGGTTGAAAGAAGAAAGGGCAATGTATAATATTATAGCAATACTGATTTAGAGCACACTAACCATTGCACACTATTATGTACACAAACTGACTGCCATATTAATCTACTGTATGTATGGGTATACTTTTAGGTAGGTAAGTGGTAAGTCATGTGACTATAAAGAGGTGATCACATGATCCCTGGCGATGTCATCATCATAAGACGGTGTTGTCACGTGCACCTTGTAGTTGGAAGCTGGTTGTGGGCTCTGCACCGGCATGAGTGTTCTGGAGAGAGAGGGAGGGAGGGAGATTGGCGGAGGTATGCAACTTTGTGCAACACTATTGGTGTATGTGAGCTGTAGTACTGCAGTGGGTGGAACCCTTCTATTCAAGACAAAAATGGGACAGAAGAAAGTGTCTGTAGTAGCAACTATGATCCTTCATCGTTTCCAGTGGTCGATTATTGCGAAATGATAGCAGTTCACAATGCGATCACATTTAATATTACGGTACGTGTAGGTGTCTTTCATTTCAGGGGTCCCCCCTTGTGTGTGTATGTGCAAAGAATCATAATTAGTAATTGGGGACAAATTCCCCATGTAAGCAGAGCACTCGCAATGTAGTGGTATAGTTCTGTTACAGTTCACTCTGGTGGTGTGAGGTTTACTGACCTAAACCGAAACAACGTTAACCCTTTACTGACCAATGCGGGTCTGAGGCTTAAGATCAAATTACAAAACCGAAACAACATTAATAACCCTTTACTGAGAAATGCGGGGTTGGTAAAGGGTTAAAATGTTGAGTAATTAGGTAAAGGGGAGACCTTGGAGAAAGACGGAGGAGATGGGGAGCGTCTCACACGGTCCGTGGTGACAAACGAAGTGGTGGTTGTGTAGTCATCTGGCATGTGGAACGATTGGACAAGCTGCAGAGAGAGGGGGAGAGAGGGAGAGAGGGAGAGAGGGAGAGAGGGAGAGAGGGAGAGAGGGGAGAGAGGGAGAGAGAGGGAGAGAGGAGAGAGAGAGCGGAGAGGGAGAGTAGAGAGGGATAGAGGAGAGAGGACGAGAGGGAGGAGAGAGCGGAGGGACTGACTGACTGAATGGTTTCCTTGTGTAAACTTTGTACCAAGACAATGGAATGTACCACAAAATGGGTTCTTACTTCATATAAATCGTGGACAATGGAATACAAGAGGGCGGGGCTAGGGGCTAGACTAGACGATGGGAATACGAATTCTGTGAGGTAAACTGCGATTTCGAAGGACCAAATTTGTGGTGTAACTTGTTTTCATGTTGGTTGTCACGGAATTTGCACAGGGTATGTACCTACACATTTCCAGTTGCTATCCCAACCAAAGCTCTCAATATTACCTAAGTTGCAAACGCAGAGATCTCTTACATCTTTCCTAGCCTGTTGTTCCCGTGGCATGGAGTGTGACCCGCTGGAAATCAGT